AGTGGCGGATGTAATAAGCGACAAAATTGCCAACGTCAAGAAATGAATTTTCCGATAGAAAATACTCTAAAACCAACAAAAATTGTGTCTAATATAACCGACAAATAATATATTAATAATGAATAAATAAGAGCATTCTCTGTCGGATAAAACCGACATGAAATACTCTAAAACCGACAAAACTTGTGTCGGATATAACCGACAGAGAATTTATTTATAATGAATAAAGAAGAGCATTCTTTGTCGAATAAAACCGACAGAAACATTTATCTATCAATTTGATAGGATATGCATTCTACGAAACTAGTTTCAACGATCCAACCGTCAAATATGTTTGTATATACTCCGAGATAGCATGTGTAAAAAATCGCAAAAAAAAAAAAACATTCAGAGATTAGGTAACAGGGCCATGAGTAAAAAAAAAAAAAAAACATTTAGAGATTATTGTGATGACCCGTCCCAATTTATTATATAATTTTCTCCTCAAGCGTGTAAAGTGACGAATATGCCCTCGTTGGCTAAGTGATGTGGATGTGTATATGCAGTTTTAAATTATTATCTCCGCTATCATAATTAAATCGTACTCGACGTCTCGAGTGAGTTGAAGCGAGTTAGAACCGAATTGGAGCCATAACGAAAAAGTTACGATTATTTAGGTGCGTAAATGGGCAAATTGTAGACCAATTATATGGGCTCCTATTTCTTTTAGCCTAATCAGATAAGTTGTTTTTCTTCTTTTGGGCCAATTAAAATTAGCTCTATCTCTCTCACAGCCAATTAGAACACACACACACACACACACACACACACACACACACTCACTCTTCCTTCTCTCTCTTCTTCTCGACTCTTCTCCCTTCGTACACCCAAGACACCCCACATACATAACCATTATCAAACTCACACGGATCGAACTTTTGGAAACCATACCATTCTCCTCTCAACCACACGATCACCACCATACCCTTAGTTTTTCGTTTTGGTGAGTTTTAGCTTGAAAATCAGAAGCTTCGACGAGGAGTTAGTTTGCTCTGGTATGATCACAGACAATTTACAAAGTTTTGAGGCTCGGGATGGTCTCTATGAAACTTCCCTAGCACTTTAGAGTAGATTTGGAGTGGAGTGGAATAGGTGAGTTCAAAGACTTGCAGAGTTGGTCGTATTTTCCAAGGAATTTTCCGATCATTTTTCGTTGAATTTTGGACTTCTAATAGGTACAAACGTGTTCTACTCTTCGAGACCTTCAAATCCATATAAATTTCATGGATTTTGGTTAAGAAATGAAGTAGATATAAAGCTTTGAAAATTTTCCAGAAACTGGTGTGTGCAGACAGTGGCCAACGGCAGCAGACGACAGAAACTAGCAGGTGACTGGAGAAGAAGAAGGTATATTCCGTTAACTTTAACGGAATATTCTAACAGTGTTAGATAACGCCGTTACCATTTAACGAAATATTCTGCTTATTTTGACGGAATATTCCTAACGCTGTTAGGGTTTCCGTCAATGTGCCGTGCACGTGCCTACGCATGGCCGACACGTGTGGCCGTGTCTTGGCCGGTGCGTGAGGGCGCATCCGATGTCCAAAAGTTTTTCTAAAAACTTATGTGGGTTCGTATCATTAAGTAGATCACGTTCGTATATTCAAACCTTACATTTAAGCAAACTATGAGGAGTTATTCCTGGATTCGTATGTGTGCTAATTAATTAACGTAAAAATAGTTGTATCGTATATAGGTGAGACATACCCCGAGGACGAGCGTGGACAAGCGAAGCTAGAGGGCTACGATCCTACTAGTTATTAGTGAGTGGGCATTTGTTTTCTATATATATATATATACACAATTTCCAAAAACGTTTTTATATGGAACTATGATTTGCTTGCCATGTCGTAAATAAGTTACATTTTAAATATTGCATTGTTACACTTGTGAATTGTATTGTGTGATGTTATGAAGACTTAGGTAAGCTTCAGGTGAGTATTATGTGATTGAATGGGTTGTATTGTATGCACACATTTATTTAGAGCTCATCATGGCTGCACCCCAATACTAGTGCTCTCACCCGGGGCTAGGGCCAGTCTTCACGTGATTATTCTCCCCCCGCACCGCATGCTCACCTTGGATCCAAGTCTGGTGCCAACCTATCATACAGACGACAATAGGTGGTTCTGACTCGTAGCTGACCCGCGAATTATCGCACATCCTTCACGTGATCGTAGCATTTAAGCGTACATATTTATACCCAGCCTGTCGTACAGGCCACACTAGGTGACTCTGACTTATGTGCTAGCCTAAATTGATTAGCTATAGGTCCAGTCGTACAGGTCACGTTAGGTGACTCCAACTGGCATACTATTTAATATTTAATATTGGTTTCACACCTGGCTTACATTTATTATTGCTGAGATATTATGACATGGCATACTTCAGTTTTCACTGCTTTTGAGCATTGGTTTTCATACCTCCGTAGTAATATTTTCTGGAAACTATACAAGTTTTACGGAGATGGGTTATTATGTTCATAAAGATAAATATGTTTTCAAATGCTTTGTTTTTGCCCACTCACCCTTCTGTTTTGTGGCCCTCCAGGTTTTAGGTAGTTGTTCATCTTTGGTGGCTCACAAGGACTACTAGGCAGTTTTGACATTCTACTAAATAAAAGTAGGGATCTTCTCCCTGTTTGTATAATTAGTACTTAGTTAGTTCCTGCACTTTCGTTTTACCTATGCTATGATATGCGTGTATCTTATACTTGATCACTTTCACACTTACATATTATCTCTAGTTAAATAAGTTTAGTTCTGGTTTTTATTTATTCGCATTTTCTTATTATTATCACTTCTGTTGCGCACTTGGCTATGTCACCCTCATGTGACGGCCAACACGTCTCAACTTTGGTCGGGGTGTGTCATTATTATGGCGGCCGCCCAAAATTTTGCCTTGTTCGTGTCGGTTATATTCGACAGGGCCATGAGTGAAAAAAAAATTATTTAAACCATGTGTTTATTTATTTTTAATCAATATAACATTTTAAAATAATAAAATAGTCAATTTATGTCGGTTATAACCGTCAAAATACTAAATAATAACCGCCAAAAACTAAAATAATAAAATAATTAATTGTTGTAGGTTATAACCGCCACCATTAACTTAAAAGCCGCTAGAATATGTTAAAAAAAAAAAATTTTTTAAAAGAATTCAAAAATACTGGCAGCTATAATAATTTTATGGCGGTTGCATCCGACACTAAATATCCGCCAAGAATTTATGTCGGATTATAACCGACAGGATTTCTATCACATCCCGGCCCAGGCCCTTACCACATCCCAAGCTTGACTCCATCGTAGCACGATATTGTCCGCTTTGGGCCCCGACCACGCCCTCACGGTTTTGTTTTTGGGAACTCACACGAGAACTTCCCAGTGGGTCACCCATCATGGGAGTGCTCTCGCGCAAACTCGCTTAACTTCAGAGTTCCTACGAAACCCAAAGCCAGTGAGCTTCCAAAAAGCCTCGTGCTAAGTAGAGATGGGAATATACATATAAGGCTTATAGGATCCACTCCCCTGAATGATGTGGGATGTTACAATTTCATTGTTATCCGACACTAATTGAATGATGTGTCGGATATCTTTTATCCGACATAATGGCTTATTAAACCGCCACCATCTGTCAACACCTAAAGCTAATATTGTAGCAGTGTAAACCGATAAGCATTCACTAGAGTAGGTTCATGTCCAAAAGACACCTCTCCCAATGCATCTCTTGTCCGCATATACTCTCAAATACTTCCTAATTTTTCATTCATGGGGAATTGTTCGAAATTTATATTATATATTTATTAGATATTATAATATTAATTTCAAAGTGTGAATGAAAAAATTGTTGGTTGTTCGAAATAAATATATTAGATATTATATTTATTAGATACTACAAAAACTATTTTGTAGTTTAAAATTAGGGTTGGTGTCTACCTTTCTCAAGAGGTGGGATCATCCTTCCTAGAGGATGTGATGCATTATAACTTACCTTTCGATTATTCCTTAACAATAAAAAGGTGTCAGAATCCGGATCCTTGAAATTTAATCAAACAGAAGGCCCCTTAAAAAAATTATAATAATTTTAGCCATTGGATCAAATTTCAAGAGTCCAGATTAATTGATTGGTGGGATTTTGTGTGAGAGATCCGGAGGGGATCTCTTCCCACATAATTTATCAAAGGGTGTCGTGAGTTTTATATAAACTCAAGCATCCCACCTGTCTAATGTTTTTTTAAACAAAAGAGTGTCCTTCAATGTCTTTTATTCTTTGTTAGTTAAATTTTGAGTCGTCTTTTGAGAGTGCAAGATATAAGTAGTTCGCTAGAGTCTGAAGAATGAGGTGCTTCAAGTTTGGATTATAGAATGTTGAATCCTGGGAGATGTACGCTCACCAAACTATAAGAGTGGGAGCGAAATTCTATCTTTAAAACATTACATTTATGCAAGCCTCAATCTCCAAGTTTGTCAATCTTTCTAATTCTCTCTAGTTTAATCTCATACATCATTGATGTTGTAATTTTCTTTATAATTATTATCATTGGAATTCTTGTATTATTTTCATATTTTCTAATATTGCTCCAACATTTATTTCATACGATATCTAGATTGAAATATCTGGGTTGAACTTTAACTTTGTTCTTTGGCTCATGAAGGATTCTTTTTGTCCTTTCTCCAGGTTTATTTTTTTCGTCTGCGACATTAACCTATTGAATTAGAGAAGCCTCCAAGTTAAATCCGAACAAATTAATCTATTCTGTCACATAAGCTCCATCGCCACCAGCGAGCATTACCAAGTCAACCTTCACAATTATCGACTATAAATATGGTAGAGACTAACAGACGTACACCACTTATCCTTTCATGTTCTTCTTTTAACCAAATTAAAAGATGGAGAAAGAAAATGGTGCAGCATTGCACCTCATATATCTTGTTGGTTTTACTTTGATCATGTTTTTTTCATCAGGAGTAGTTTCACAAGAGGAGCAAAATAGCTTCCAAACTTACATTGTTTTTCTTGAAAAGCCTGTCTCCTCGAAATTTACAGTAGAATCAGATTTAGACAGTTGGTATCAGTCATTTTTGCCTGAAACTACTGCAAACGCAAACCAGCAGAGGATCGTTCATGTGTACCGCAATGTGGTCACTGGATTTGCAGCAAAACTGACAAAGGAGGAAGTGAAAGCAATGGAAAACAAAGAAGGTTTTTTGAAGGCTCATCCTGAGATAACTGTACCATTGCTAACTACTCATAGTCCTGATTTCTTGGGTTTACACCAAGGATACGGACTATGGAAACAAGCAAACTACGGTGAAGGTGTGATCATAGGACTTATGGATACAGGGATTGGACCCGACCATCCTTCGTTCAGTGATGAAGGAGTACCCCTTCCTCCGGCTAAATGGAAAGGCAAGTGCGAGTTCAATGGCACAGTGTGCAACAACAAGCTCATTGGTGCACAAAATTTTGTTGGTGCAGAAGAAGGGAATATTACCGGAACACCATTTGATGAACATGGTCATGGGACCCACACATCTAGCACCGCTGCTGGAAATTTTGTCCAAGATGCCAGCGTGTTTGGAGACGCGAATGGCACGGCTGTTGGCATGGCACCTTATGCTCATTTGGCAATGTACAAAGTCTGTTATGGGATTAGTTGTAGGTCTGGTGACATCTTAGCTGGCCTCGATGCTGCTGTTGAAGATAGCGTGGACGTGATTTCTATCTCACTTGGAGGCCCTTCACTTCCATTCTACGACAATGTGATTGCAATCGGTGCATTCGCAGCAATGAAAAAAGGAATATTCGTCAGCTGTGGAGCTGGAAATTCCGGTGTCCATAAATCTTTGGCAAATGAGGCCCCATGGTTTCTTACAGTTGGAGCAAGTACTACTGACAGAATACTAAAATCACAAAATGAGAAGCTCAGCTCCTATGGCGCTGTAATTGGAGATGCTCTTGCTCCCAGGGTCGCTGTCTTTTCATCAAGAGGACCAAGCCGCGCAAGCCCTGGAATTTTGAAACCCGACATCATTGGACCCGGCGTTAAAATTCTTGCTGCTTGGCCTTTATCAGTGGACAATGCAACACTTCCTAATCCTAAGGCAACATTTAACATAATTTCAGGTACCTCGATGTCAACTCCTCACCTGAGTGGCATTGCAGCTTTGCTCAAGAGATCACACCCCGACTGGTCACCAGCAGCTATTAAATCTGCCATCATGACAACTGCTAATGTACTAAACCTCGCAGGAACACCCATCATTGACCAAGGGCTTAAACCCGCAGACGTCTTTGCAATTGGTGGAGGCCATGTCAACCCTACAAAGGCAAATGACCCAGGGCTTGTCTTCGACATAAAACCAGAAGATTATTTTCCTTACTTGTGCGGTTTGAACTACAATGAGACAATGATAAAGATTATCACGCAGCAAATAGTGAAATGCTCAGAAGTCGGAGTCATACAAGAAGCACAGCTCAATTACCCTTCATTTTCTATTAAAGCAGGCCCTAATCAGACAGAGTCTCAGTACTATACCAGGACAGCAAAGAACGTTGGCCCAGCTACTTCAACATACAACTTGGATCTTTTAGTACCACATCAAATGGGGATAAGTGTGAACCCTCAGGTGCTTACATTCACAAAGGTTAACCAGGAGATTACATACCATGTCGAATTTATCGCAAAAGAAGGAGCTGGTAAGGATGGTGTACCATATGGTCAGGGATACTTGAGATGGTTTTCTGATAAACATAATGTTACTACCCCTATAGCTGTCATTTTTGACACTCCGCAAGATTAATATTTGGTCCTATAGAAGCTTCGCTATATGTTCATACAAGGAATAATGTACATAATGTAAGTACAATTTAATAATAATCTACCTACGAAAATTCAAGTTGATGAAGAATAAAAGCGTTTAGATGCCTAAAATGTTTTGACAGAAATAACTAGTATGTTTCTCTCTCTTTTTAAGAATGATTCAAAGCAATTTTATATCATCAAAAGCGTTAGTGACAGTTTTTGCGTAAGGATTATTCTATAAAATCACCTAGTATATCAGTATATGTACTCCCTTAAGAAGAAATTCCAAGTGTTATTCCAAGTACTTCGACTTGCATGCTTTTCAATTAGAATTGAAGAAAGCATAACATGTGAATAAAACAATTAATGAACTTTTTTTTATGTTTATTGTCGAGGTACTCAACGATTGTTTTAGCTTTACAACCGTCCTTGGGTGAGGGATTGAACAACAATTTCCTTGTAAACATTGTTGTCTCTGTAAAGGCTTACTGATATATGGCTAGTGTAGTGCAACAGTTTCTAAGACAACAGTTACCCACAAAATTGGTCACTTATAGAAGTGCACCCTTATACATCATCCCAAATGTGTGCTCAGTCACCTTACATAAATCCTCCAGAAAATCTGGCCACTCACCACGCACTTCATCAACCTACGCCGACGTGTAAGTTCTAGCCACTCTCTTCCACCACTGAAACATGATAAGGAAAATTAAGCAAATTTTTAGCTAAGTTCAATAAACCGATAAGTTGTTGCAGTACATATAGCAACGAGCATGTACCTTCAGTGATTATGAATATTTATCCTTACCCAATAATGCTCGGTATTAAAAACAAAAATCAAGTGCGTATGTGATGATAAATAACAGACCCCCAACTTCTTCCCCATGCTCAGGCGGTACTTGTAATGTTCAACTGTGCAACCTTATAACTTAAAGGCTTCACTTGCAGTTTAGTTATCGCCAGAGTCAAGTTTTTGTCCACAGGTGGTCTGACCTAAGTTCACAATGCAGTCGTATCACAGAAGGTCCATCACCAGTTCACCACCTTGTTATAGTTCGGCGATTATTACCATGTTCTGATTAATATATGTCGTTAGGTGGTCTGACCTAAGTTCACAATGTAGTCCTACCACATAAGATCCATCACCAGTTCACCACCTTGTTATAGTTAGGCAATTATTACCATGTTCTGAATAATATATAAACACAAAACTCCAGATTGTGACTACTCACCCGTCGAAATTACAAGAAACGCCGGCCAATGTTCCTTCAAATTTCAACTATATATAGCTGCTTGAAATGGTAGACTGACATCAACAACTTGCACTCCATGTTCTTCTCTTGTCCATTAAAGATGGAGAACATAAAGGGTACAGGGTTGCATGTTTTATATTTTCTTGGTTTAACTTTCATGTTTTATTCATCACTAGCAGTTGCACAAGAGAAGCAAAACCACCTCCAAACTTATATTGTTTTTGTTGAAAAGCCTGTATCCCAGAAGTTTTTCGCACTATCTATTGAAGATTTGGAGATTTGGTACCAGTCATTTTTGCCCAAAACTCGTGCAAACTCAAACCAGCTGATGAACCAAAGACTGATTCATGCATATCATAACGTGGCCATGGGGTTTGCAGCAAAATTGACTCCTGAGGAACTAGAGGCGATGGAAAAGAAGGAAGGGTTTGTGTCGGCTCATCCAGAGAGAAGGCTGCCTTTGCTTACTACTCATAGCCCTGACTTCTTGGGTTTACACCAAGGATCAGGAATTTGGCAACAAACAAACTATGGTGAAGGCATCATAATTGGAGTTTTGGATACAGGGATCCCACAAGATCATCCCTCATTTAGCGACGAAGGAGTAACTCCTCCTCCGGCTAGATGGAAAGGCAAATGCGAGTTCAATGGGACGACGTGCAATAACAAGGTTATTGGTGCAAGAAATTTCATTGGCGCAGGCAAAGGCAAACCTGATCCAGAACCTCCAATTGACACAGATGGCCATGGAAGCCACACGTCTAGCACAGCTGCAGGAAATTTTGTACAAGGCGCAAGCGTGTATGGAGAGGCCAATGGCACAGCTACTGGCATGGCTCCTCATGCTCACTTGGCTATGTATAAAGTCTGCGAATTTGACTGTGCGGAAGGTGACGTTTTGGCTGCAATGGATGCTGCTGTTGAGGATGGAGTGGATGTGCTCTCCCTCTCGCTTGGCGGCCCCTCAATTCCTTTCTATGAGGATGTGATTGCAATTGCTGCATTCGGAGCAACTCAAAAGGGAATTTTTGTCAGCTGTGCAGCTGGAAACTCTGGTCCTGAACCTGGTTCTTTGTCAAATGAGGCCCCCTGGATTCTTACAGTTGGAGCAAGCACAACTGACAGAATTTTAAACATAAACCCAAATCCTACAGCAACAATCTTGTATAATGGCAAAGGAGACCCACTCGCTCCCAAGGTAGCATCATTTTCATCAAGAGGACCAAACACTGCAAGCCCTGGAATTCTGAAACCTGACATCATTGGACCCGGTGTTGACATTCTAGCAGCATGGCCCGAATCAGTGGACAATGCCACACTTCCTAATCCTAAGGCAACATTTAACATAATTTCGGGTACCTCAATGTCAACTCCTCACCTAAGTGGAATTGCAGCCTTGCTCAAGAGCTCACACCCCGATTGGTCACCAGCTGCAATTAAATCTGCCATCATGACAAGCGCAAATGTTCTAAATCTTGCCGGCAGGCCCATTGTTGATGAATGGAATAGGACTGCGGACATCTTTGCAATTGGTGCAGGACATGTTAACCCTTCGAAAGCAAATGATCCGGGGCTCATCTATGACCTCCAACCAGAGGACTACATTCCTTACTTGTGTGGCTTGAATTACACCGAAAAACAGATAAGGACTATCACGCAACAAACAGTGAACTGCTCTCAAGTCGGCGCCGTAGAAGAAACACAGCTGAATTATCCATCGTTTTCTATCATAGTAGATCCGGATAAAATGCAGACCAAGTCTGTGCTTTACACAAGGACTGTGAGGAATGTTGGCCCGGCTAATTCAGTTTACAACTTAGATCTTTTAGTACCAAATAATACGATCATGAGCGTGACTCCTCAGGTGCTTACATTCACAGAGCGTAACCAAACGATTACCTACCAGGTGGAATTTACTGCACTTGACGAGGCTAATACCCAGACACAAGGATATTTGAGATGGTTTTCTGCAAGTTATAATGTAACAAGTCCAATATCTGTGGTTATTGCCTCTAGGTAAAATTTGAATTTGATGTAGATAATTGTGTATTCTCTACACATTTATTTATGAATTAATAATAAAGAACACAATAAAATCAAGGGTATTCACAGCCTTGCTCCTGAATTTAGCTCTGAGTTTAGCTGACGCTTTTATGGTACTTGCCCGTCCGGACACATAGTACCTCGTTTGAAACATTATGTACAGATGGTATGAATTGCCTAAACAAGAATTCTTGAATAGCGACCAACTAGAGCAATTACTCTCAACAATATCAAAAGATTTCCATTAATGAAATATGTCGGATGAAGTGGTTATTGCTCTACTACCAACCACGACTCATGGGCTTAACTGAATAGCTAAATGAACTAGAGCATTTGGAGGGCTCATAATCTTTAATCATTTTTTTTTTCCTAATTAGAATGGTTAAATATTATAAAATATAATGTAGTACATGTAAGTAATACAACGTATAACCATACAATAATACTACTGAAGCTATACAAAAACAGATCCAAACTTCAAATTGACGATGAACTAGAAAGCGCAATCTCATCCCCGCGAGAACTTGCTTGCAACAGGACTAGTGAAGATTAAGGATAATTGGCATCCTTAATTTTGATTATTCCTTAAACATGCATTTCAATCTGTTTGTTGGGCAATAATCCACTCAACATATGTAGAACGTTGCTGTGCACTTAATTTTGATTATTCCTTATAAATGCATTTCAATGTGTTTGTTGGGCATTAATCCACTTAACATATGTAGGACGTTGCAGTGCACCCTCGCATGAAGGAAGTCTTTAACATTGGCACTCAAAAATCCTACGACAGGCACATAAGAAATAGTCTAGTGGGAATTAATCCACTCATGGAGGTTATAACTAGGTTTTAGTCTAGTGATATTTCTCTTCTTACTATTGGAAGAAGTCTTAAATTCAAATTCCCCATTCCCCTTTATTAAATTAAAGACTCATTACTCTCGATAAATTGAGCAGTCATTATAATTTTACAAATTCCACACAAACAAAACAAAATCTCAATATTTTCCAAAGAAATCGAAAAGGTAACGAACACTATAATACTTGTTGTGCACACAAAAATTTGACGGAAAGTCGAGGTATTTTGAGGAGTTTGACAAAGAAAACTTTCTTGTAGATTTCGTATGACCAGTCGAGGATAGGTGTCTCATTAAAACCTCATTAGGTAGCAAAAATCCAGTGGGAAAAATGCCCTAATCTAAGGGAAAAAGAGTACACTAAGGTCAAGTAAGTATACCTCTAGATACTCCATCTGAGTTTGACATAACTTCAAAATAAGAACTACAAGCATTGCAAGTGAGATAGTTACACAAACCAATTCCTTGAACAAGCTTTTAGAAAGTAGACTTCAGCAGTGACTTGATGAGGAGGTTGGCAAGGTTGTCTTGGGTTGAGATTTGCTTGACTTCAATCTTTGATACTCATGCTAATGTGATGTAGACGCAATATGTTTGGCGTTGACTTCTTGGATGTATCATATTATGGTATGGATACATGCGGCATTATCTTCATAGATCGTCATTAATTGAGACTCAAAGATTGATGATAACCGCAAGTGCCTCAAATATTCATCATCATTTGTCAGTCGTGGAGTCATCATTGCCATCAAAAGGTTTTAACGCAAGCCTTAGGTCCACTGTCTGATTTCTTCTTGCCATCGTAGAACACCTTGAATGAAGCTCTCGATACCAAATATTATAATTATGACTCTCCTCTACTGGATCTTGCTCTTTGAAGTATCTAACAATAGACTAAACTTAGCAAATTAGAGAATAACAAGTAACACTAGATTCATACTAGTTCAGCAAAACTTTTGCCTACATCCAGTTGTGATTTCTCTTGGTAGAGAAATGATTGCTTCTTTGATTAATGATAGAGTATACAGTACTTTGGCAAACCCTAAAAGTAATCCCTTTTCTCCCTCTCGGCTATCTTTGGCTATTCTCACTTTTTTCTTGCCTTGCAACACCCTATTTATAAGTATAGGTGTGGCTTACGATAAAAATTTATGTGAGGCTTTGCTTGTCTTACTACTAGACTTTGTTGAGTGGCACTATAATCCAATCAAAACGTGACACGTGGCATGTCTTAAATATTATCTTTTATCATTCTTTTTATATATAAAACTCTCATAATTATTTGTAAAAAAAAAAAAAAAAAAAAAAACAAACAAACAAACAAACAAAAAAACAAAACTCGCATAATTATTTTTCTTCTAATTAATATACACCATAAAATTAATTTCATGATTCATTTTTCCCTTGATCTCCTCTGTCTCCTCAATCTTCCCAAATTTTCTCTACCATCTTCTTCCCCACTCTGGGAAAATTTTTAGGTGTACCGGGTACACCAAATTTTTTTGGTGTACCCTCACTCATTAGAATTTTTTTGGTGTACAAAAAGTGAGGGTGCACCAAATTTTTTTGGTGTACCCTCACCATTATGAGTGAGGGTACACCAAATTTTTTTGGTGTACCGGGTACACCGAAAAATTACTCCCCACTCTGTGCCTTTCCTTCCTTCGTAAGAATATGGGAACAAAATTAAACCATCTTCTCCATCTATCATGGAATGAAAAAAATAGTAATAATAATGAGTAGAAAAAATAATTATAAAATAGTTATAAATATTTTAAATATAAAAAATGATATAAGATAATATTTAAAACTTGCCACATGACAAGTTTTTATTGGATTGCAGTGCTACTCAACAAAATCCACTGGCAAGGAAAGCTCCACATAAAATTTTCTCGTGGTTTACACGTCTATTTTTTTATTAAGTTTCCTATTCCAATTAGATTTCTAGGATTCCTAATCTAAATTATACAAGGAAACTTAATTCTTTCCTAATTCCTTGAGGACAAGAACCTATGGACCTTTAGTTTTCCTAATACAATCCTAAACAAAATAGGACACTAACATTGACGGGCCAAATTCCTAACATTATTGAAAAAGAAATATTAACGAGGCCACATTTGGTTAACCACATGTGAGCCACTTCTTTAACTGAAGTATGACACACATGTTATAATAGACACTAACTTTATTAAAAAAGTAGTTTGCATATGGTCTACTAAATTTGGTCACCCTAACATCATTCATTGAAATATTTTGTTTGTCTATTTACTTGATTGCATGGCAATGATGATGGTATGACTGGTGCATGACTCTAAAAATAAATTTCGACTGTAATATTTTAGGCCGTCCCAGTCAATAGGCTCCATATTAGGCCTGACATTCATTTTATAAGATTTCAGTATAACATAAGGCTTATCGACTGCTTCGGTATAAACGAATAAATTAGCGAGCATTACTAAGTCTGGTATTAACAACGAAACACCGACTCCAAAACACCAGCTCCCCAGCAGCTAGCGTTTGGCTTCTCTTCAATGTTCTGTACAAGAAATGCAGGCACATTCCAGCTCGATCCATTGTTATCTACAATATATAGTTGCTCCTGTACGGTAGACTAACACAAAACACTCGCACTTCGGAGTAGTTCTTCATCGAAACATGGAGAACAGAAAGTGTCAAGTGCTGCTGCAGATTGTATGTCTGCTCGGCTTAATTTTCCTGTTTTGTTTATCGGTAGCAGCAGCTGCTGATACTCAAACTTACGTTGTTTGGGTGAAAAAGCCAGTCCAAGGTGAGTTATTTTCAAAATCTCATCAAGATTTGGAGAGTTGGTACCAGACTTTTTTGCCCGAAACAGTTGCAGACTCCAACGAGGTGACGAAGCCACGAATGGTTCATACATACCGCAATGTGGCCACAGGATTTGCAGCAAAACTGACCGCAGAGGAAGTAAGAGCGATGGAGAACAAAGAAGGGTTTGTGTCTGCTCGTCCAGAGAGGATTCTGCCTTTGCACACTACTCACAGTCCTAACTTCTTGGGATTGCAGCAAGGATTGGGAGCCTGGAAAGGAGCAAACTACGGTGCAGGTGTGATCATTGGAGTGTTGGATACTGGGATTGGACCTGATCATCCTTCGTTTAGCGACGAAGGAGTACCACCTCCTCCAGCTAAATGGAAAGGCAAGTGCGACTTCAATGGACCGGTGTGCAATAACAAGCTTATCGGTGCACGAAACTTCCAAAGCGGACAATCTACTGGAGGCCCTCCAGTTGACGATGAAGGCCATGGCACCCACACATCCAGCACAGCTGCAGGAAATTTTGTGAAAGGTGCCAATGCGTTTGGAATGGCCAATGGCACAGCAGTTGGTATGGCACCTTATGCTCATGTCGCAATGTACAAGGTCTGTGGTGAGGCGGGTTGTTCTGATGCAGACATTTTAGCTGCTATGGATACTGCTGTTGAAGATGGCGTTGATGTCCTCTCGCTCTCACTTGGCGGTGCTTCATTTCCCTTCTATGATGATGCAATTGCAATCGGTGCATTCACAGCAATTCAAAAGGGAATTTTTGTCAGCTGTGCAGCAGGAAATTCTGGTCCTGACTACGAGTCTTTATCCAATGAGGCCCCATGGATACTCACAGTTGGAGCAAGCACCATTGACAGAAGCATAAGAGCAACAGCGCTCCTTGGAAATCACGGAGAATTTGATGGCGTATCTTTGAACCAGCCTAAAGATTTTAATTCAACATTGTTGCCTCTTGTTTATCCAGGTGCGAATGGCGACCAGTCATTATCTTTATGTGCTCCAGGGTCCCTTGGAAATGTTGAAGGGAAAATAGTGTTGTGCGAGGGAGAAAGAGGAAGAGTTGCCAAAGGGGAAGAAGTGAAAAGAGCTGGTGGTGCTGCCATGATTTTGGCGAACCTAGAGGATGGTGGCTACACCGTCTTAGCTGACGCTCATGTTCTTCCTGCGACACATGTGAGTTATGCTGCAGGGTTGATGATCAAAGCCTACATAAACTCAACTGCAACACCTCAAGCCACAATCTTGTTCAAAGGCACTGTCATTGGAGATCCTCTAGCTCCCCAAGTCGCTTTCTTTTCATCAAGGGGACCAAGCATTGCAAGCCCTGGAATTTTGAAGCCTGACATCATTGGACCTGGTGTTAGCATCCTTGCGGCATGGCCCGTTTCTGTGGACAATGCCACACTTCCCAATCCTAAGGCAACATTTAACATGGTTTCAGGTACTTCGATGTCATGCCCTCACTTAAGTGGCATTGCAGCCTTGCTCAAGAGTTCCCACCCAGACTGGTCACCGGCTGCCATTAAGTCTGCAATCATGACAACGGCAGAAGTAAATAACCTTGGAGGACAGCCCATAGTTGATGAAACACTTAAACCAGCAGACATCTTTGCCACTGGTGCAGGCCATGTTAACCCTTCAAACGCAATTGACCCGGGGCTCATCTATGACATAAATCCAGCGGAGTACATTCCTTATATGTGCGGTTTGAATTACACAAATGAACAGATACAGGTTGTCACCCAACAAACAGTGAACTGCTCCGAAGTGGGAACCATCCCAGAAGCACAGCTAAACTATCCTTCATTTTCTATTATAATAGGGTCATCTGATGAGTCTAAGTCTCAGGACTATACAAGGACGGTGAAGAATGTTGGGCCGGCTAGCTCAACCTACAAGCTGGATCTTAATGTGCCACATAAAATGGGCATGAGTGTGAATCCTGAGGTGCTAACATTCACAGAGGTTAACCAGGAGATTACATTCAGTGTGGAGTTTATTGCGGAAGACGGGGCTGGGAAGGATGGTGTACTGTTTGATCGGGGGTATCTGAGATGGATTTCTGATAAGCACTCTGTTACTAGCCCCATCTCTGTGATCTTTGACACATAGGAAAAGATATCACAAGAATGCAGAGAACGATAGAAGGAATTGAACGCAAAAAATAAGTGCTACTCCAGTGGTGCCATTTTAGTCATTCAAGATTTGACGTTTAATTTACAACCCTTTGTATCATTGCCTACATACTGTTTGAGCAATAATTGAAATTGATAAAAGAAGTAAATGGACTCACAGATTGCTTGCAGTTGTATCAGCTGACGGACAAGAGTTCTTCGGTGTTTTTTTTTTTTCCGGATAGAACTAATAATTTAGCAGCATTAACCAATATACAAATTTAGGGATTGCTTAGCATAATGATAAAAAAAAAAATCAAAAAGCTTCAAGTAAAGTCTTCAAAGTTTTACATAATACATACCTCTAGCGTGTGCAGGGAAGCCAACCGAGCAACTGATCCGGTCACTTGGATAATTGAGTTTTAGAAGCCGTTCTTCCTCAATTTAGAAATATAGCAACTCGAGGCCAGCTCCAAAACCTGCTTGAGCAATGCTCCTTGAACCCCCTTCAAGAAATTCTGAATGCGCCCTCTAGAGGCTAGAAGTTTAGAAGTTGAAAAAAATGGACTAAAAATCTGTGACATCCTTCCTGAATCCTGATGAGTACGTCAATCAGTAATGTGATTTGAATCTTACAGACAGTGAGATAGGCATGACCACACAGCAGAGCACACAGTACTCGAGTCCAAAAGGCATACCAGCAGCACGTCGTCTATCATTCGTTTTCTGTTACGTTTGGTCCGAGTCCTCAAGACATTTACAAGAACTGACAAATGTTGGCCCTGCTTTCTCACGTTACTACGTTAGGGTTGTTCCGCCACAAGGAGTTGACATCCGTGTAGAGCCCAATGTAGTTGCATTCACGGAGACAAAGCAAACAACAACGTTCTCTGTGGCATTTACCTGAACAGGTGACAGTACTTGGGATGCAAGAAACATACAGTGGGCACAACACATGGTGCCGTGTGGTGTCATCAGACGTTTACAAGGACATTGACTAATGTCCCGCCTCTTCATTGTACCATGTTTGGTTTGTTCAACCACCTAGTATAGTGCCTCGTGTGATTGCATTCGTGGAGGTTATGCCAACAGAAAACTTCTCAGTGACATTCACTCCGACAGTACTCGTGATGCAAGCAACCCATTTTCTTAAGGATATCTCAAGTGGGTTTCTTTTAAGCATAGTATACAAACCCAATATCTGTCAATGTTTAATTGACATGTTCGCAAAGGATCTAGAGATAATATTACAGTCTGAGAATAAGAGGTAAAATCAATTTTCCTAATATAAATATACCAGCCTCTTCTTAGCAAGGATCTCGTTCCATTGTAATGGGACTATTGCGTCCTCGTAGGGACCATGTATTTACTGAATGGGATCCTTATAATCTGGAGCAGAAAACGAGAGAAATAGTAAAATATATAAGAAGTCCTCTATGGTAAATACATGATCCCTACGATGGTATTATTCCTATTTTGTTTTTGCTACATGGGATCCCTACTAAGAACTCTCAATTATATATAGCATATGTAAAATATGTTTTATTATGATCTAACTATTTTGTGAATGCAACACGAGTTCCTAACATTAGATTTGAGACTACTATAAAATCACAAAGTGTAGTATTGTACACTATGGAAAATTCCCATCTGCATAATTCCAAGTAATAGTTGGCAATTTGTGTAAGAATATATACAAAATACGTACATAAATGTATAATAAAATACCCTGGACCCTGGCTCAAAGAAAATGATCAAGGTCTGTGAATGCTGTCAACTTCAATATTTTGAAAGGTGAGGTTTCATGGATAAGCCCTGTCTAGGAAAAAACCTTCACCTCACAAGATCTAAATAATTTTAATATATATATATATATATATATATATATATCTAAATATAGGGAATTGTTATTAGCATTCCAAAAATCTCATTCTACACTCCAAACTTTTTATATTAGGAAAGAAAAATACACTTATGAGGAGTGTAGAATGAGATTTTTGAAGTGCTAATAACACTTCCCTATATATATATATATATATATATATATATATATATATATATATATATATATATATATATCAAAGGTCTTAACACTTCTATCCTTTTATGTCTACGCGACGCTAGATTTACTGATTTCAACGATAGTATCCTTGGAATGATCGAATCTAGTCTTTACAACGGACCTATCCATTTTGATTGTTTTCCAGATCTCACAATAAGTCTTTCAGACCCACATGTTTTAAAAGCTCTTACTCTTAATATCAAAACCTCCGGGTACCAAGTCCTGGAAGGAACACAACCTTTGGCACTTATTTTTAGAATTTATTACAAAGTCACTGGCACAAACATGAATTTTCAAGCTTTGAACAAAAGTCCTCGTGACCACACTCTTTTGATCCAAACAAACCAAGAAGGCGCGAACATAAGAGTACCAAGAACCATTAGGTGGTCAGACATCAGTCTCCCTTCAGATTGGTGTTTAATCAACGAAAGTAAACCGGTTTCCGTCCAAAACAGTCTTGTTAATCTTGACAACATTGAACAATATTTTGACGGCACTGTAAAAATCAATTTTGATAGACCAGCAAGAAAATCTTGTGAATCAGTACATTCACACAAATCTTTTGCTCCTAGCAGACAGTCTTTTTCTGGATCCCCGTCAACCGATAGACTGGGTCGAGATCAAGATTTGATCAAATCTTTAGTAAACAAAAAGTTAAAAGAGCAGGAAATTGCACAACAAGATTTAATCAATGATTTGCTCAAATTAAAGTCTGTCGACACTTCTTCACAAGTTGCACATCCTGTTTATCATCCTCCAAACCAAGAAGAACCCACTTCTCCAACTGCTTCTGATTTTGAAACAACATCGGTGAATCACCAATTACTTGTTTTAAACAAACCACATAAAATCCGATGGAGGAAGCTTAAAGCTGACATCGCTTCTGAGGAAAACATCCCCAGAAGAAATATTTTTAGAAAAAAGTATTGTGATGAAGAAAAGCTAGCCATATATGCCGAGTGGAAAGCTTTTGTAGAACAATACCAATTTGAAATATCTTTCTTTGATTTCATTGAAAAACATTATGAGACCAAAAATAAAGTCACGGTTGTTACCAAAGAAAATTGGGTTAAGGAAGACAAAACTTTGGTTTCCTCTAGTCATCCTCCCAAAGAAACTATTTTAATTTCCACTGGTAATACCAACATCCCCGCAACTCCTTTCAAAATTCCAAAAGAAGATTCTGGTTTTAAACCTGTCATCGAACAGAACAATTTTACAAACCAAAGTCTTCACACCATTGGAAAACAGTTAGACAAAATTGAAACCAAAATCGACAAATTGTCTCAACCAATTTCTTCTCCAAAAGAAAAACCTTTAGTAAATTTTACTGATACCGCTTCAAGTTCCACTGCTTTAAAATCCATGACTACTTTACAAAAAATTGATCATATGCTCACTGAGCTCAAAAAAGAGAAAGTTGTTAATGTTTTGCAAAACAATGATGTTTCCATCGAAGAAGAAAACACATCTGGCCCAGATTCTTCTCAGGACACGGAAACTAGTTCTGCTATCCAAAATATTGAAAATGCTTTTCAAAACATTGATCTTCAGCCAACTTTTGATTTAAAACGCATTCATACTCGTCCTGTCAACCCTACTTCTCTTACAAAAAACTGGTATCCCAGGCCAACTCCCCCTGATCTTCAGTTTGAAGAAAGAAATATCCAAAATCAATTTTCAGTCTCTGCTGACAAACTCTATGAATGGAATATAGATGGATTGTCAGAACAAGAACTTTTGAACAAACTCCAACATATGTCCATGGTCGCCAATAGCTACATTTCAAATCACAATTTTACACAAACACAAGTCGTTGATCTTCTCGTCACTGGTTTCACTGGAATGCTTCATTCTTGGTGGGAGAAGCACTTAACTTCTCAGTCCAGAGATGAAATACGTTTTGCGGTCAAAAAAGATGAGGAAGGACTTCCCATCTTTGATGAAACGATAGGACAGGGATTACCCGACGGAGTAAATACTTTACTTTATACGATTATAGAACACTTTATAGGAACACCCAGCAACGTCACTACTCGTATTCACGACCAACTGAGTAATTTAAGGTGTCCAACCTTAAGTGATTTCAGATGGTATAAAGATGTTTTCATATCCAGAGTTATGCTTAGGGAAGATAGTAATCAACCTTTTTGGAAAGAAAAATTTATCAATGGTTTACCAAATCTTTTTGCTCACAAAATCCGAAATGTTTTAGTTAACGAAGAGGGTGTCATACCTTATCATACCCTTACTTATGGTAGCATAGTTAATGTTATACAAAAGGAAGGATTGAAAATGTGTATTGACATGAAGATTTCAAAACAAGTTAATAAAGATAAATCTATCGCTAAATACGAACTTGGAACGTTTTGTGAACAATACGGTTTACCTCCAATTGCTCCTTCGAGTAAAAAGAAAAAAGCCCAACAAACCAGCAAGTTTTCTAAATATCAATCCAGATTTTATAAAAACAAAAGATCTTCCAACAAACCTTTTCAAACAAATAAATTTTATGAAAAACCATCTCCAAACAAAAAACCTTTTCGAAAGCCTAAAAAGGATTTTCAAAATAAAAAAGGAAAATGCTACAAATGTGGCAAATTTGGTCATTATGCAAATGAATGTAGAGTTAAAAAGGTTATTAACCAACTAAAAATCTCTGAAGAAGAGAAGGTTCAACTTATTCAGGCTTTAGAAATTAGAAATACCGACTCTAGTCAATCTGATAAAAATCCTGATTTTTCCGTCTCCGACTCTAGCAGTTCTAGCGACGTCTCCTCGCCAAACATTAAGTTTGGGTGCACGGACACTTGTTGTAATAAAATTTCAGTGCTTAATAAGCAAGAAGAACAAGAAGAGTTTTTAATGGAATTAATTAGTAAAGTCGATGACCCTGATTTAAAATCTTTTTATTTGAAAAAACTCAAAAATTTGATTTCTTCTCATGAACCTGGCACTAGTCAAACTTCTTCTCAAAAGATTTCTCTCAGCACCACTTTGGAACGGTTTAATAAACCAAAAAAGGATTTAACCATCAAGGATTTACAAAAAGAAATTAACCAAATTAAATCAGAAATTAAATTTTTTAAATCTGAAAATACAGAAATTCGTTCACAACTCAGTAGAGCTCGTACACAAGCGCTTGTAGAAGAACAAGGTAATTCT